AAAAAAAAATTCTTTTTAAACTAGCCAGTATGGTGGTGCAGGAGCTTATAGTCCCAGCTTCTTGTGAGCTGAGGTGGGAGGATCGCTTGAGCCCCCGAGTTAAGGCTGCAGTGAGCTATAATCACAGCCCTACACTCCCACCTGGACGACAGAGCAGGACCCTGTCATAAGTAAATAAACAGAATATGTAAGAACTGTATGAGTCTCCGGGAAAAGACTACAGAGAGACGAAAACGAGAAGCAAGGAAGCCCCTTACCAAAAGGATGCGGCGAAGCTGTCTGGAGAGACGAACTGAATTTTCATGCAGCCCCTCCCAGGCCTTGAAATTTCTTTCATGATTTTCTACAAAAGTATTCCAGCAGTAAAAATAATCTTGAAAAGATAAAAAGGGCAGGGTGGGGGGTAGAAGATCGTTCAGGTGTCACGTCGAGGGAAAAGAAAGAAAACCCCGGCCCCGCTTTCTCATTCCCCCCAGGGTCTCGTCTCCCCGCCATTCGTTCTTCTCCTCCAGTTCCAATCAGTACTTTTGGCTCCAGGGGTTAACCCGGACCCTCGCACAGTTCTTCCCCCTGAACCCCCCCTGGCTCGTCCCACTGCGCGCTGCCATCCCGGAAGGGCGCCCGCTGCGCCGAGCCCGCGCACACGGTCCGCGCTGCGCACCTTTGAAGGTCATGATGGCGATCTGGACCCCGGCGCGGTGCAGCCGCCGCAGCCCCTCGGGCTCAGCCTTGCGGTCCTGATCGCAGAAGTAGAGGCGCGCGGTGAAGATCCGCAGGCTGAGGTTGGGGTTCCCTCTCAGGAAGTCGGCCACGTGTCGGGCACAGTCGTAGCAGGGGCTCCAGGAGGTGAACCAGGTGACGCGGTAGCAGCGGCCGGGGTCCAGGTCCCAGTCCGAGATGTAGCGCAGGAAGAGCAATTCCACGTGGCAGCCCGACTGGGGAGAGAGCAGACGGCCCAGATGACGTTCATTGTGCTTTATTGCTGTTCTGGCGGCTTTGCAGTCACTCCCTTTTGGGGGGCTTGCAGTTATGGTCCTGGTGTTAACAGAGAGGCTAAGTGACTGGCTCAAAAGAGCACCCCAGTGAGTGGGGAGGCAAAACCCTTTGTAGCGCTCGTCCTGCGGAGTGAAGAAAGGCTACGGGATTTTCTGTGGAATGAAGAGGATGAAGTGAGTTGAGCTGGGACGGAGTAGCATCGCACTACCTCGGTAGAGATTTGTGTTTGTGAAGTTACTCTTTTGCACCTTTGGAGGAGAAGGAAAATAACTTGAAAGTTCCTGTTGTGGCCGGGCGCGGTGGCTCACGCCTGTAATCCTAGCACTCTGGGAGGCCGAGGCGGGCGGATTGTTTGAGCTCAGGAGTTCGAGACCAGCCTGAGCAAG